TCTGTCAGTCTATTGTCTAAAGATCCCATCAGAGGCCAATCTGACAGTCTATTGTCTAAAAATCCCATCAGAGGCCAATCTGTCAGTCTATTGTCTAAAGATCCCATCAGAGGCCAATCTGTCAGTCTATTGTCTAAAGATCCCGTCAAAGGCTAATCTGTCAGTGTATTGTCTAAAGAGCCCATCAGAGGCCAATCTGTCAGTCTATTGTTTAAAGATCCCATCAAATACTAATCTGTCAGTCTATTGTCTAAAGATCCCATCCAAGGCTAATCTGTCAGTCTATTGTCTAAATATCCCATCAGAGACTAATCTGTCAGTCTATTTTCTTTGGTTCTTTCGGTAAAGTCACGTAGAATGATAATAAAATAATAAATTGATAAAATAACACAATAATATTCTCACGACGTTTCGGCCACAACACAAGCGGCCTTCATCAGGTGAAGGGGCGAGACTGTCTGGTAGGACAGCGCTGGAGTGAAAGAGCCATGTTCAGATCACGGCCTTTAAGCTGTGTGAGAGGAACAAAGCGCCTTGACAAAGGAATTAGCATATAATTTAGCATTGAAATGGCTGAATGATTAGCTTGTGACTGGTCACAGAAATAGCTATGTTAAAAGTTAAAGCATACACACCCGCAGAGGCACCGATTGTTAAAGGAATTAGCATAGAATTTAGCATTGAAATAGCTAAGTTAAGGCATACACATCCGCAGAGGCACCCCTTGACAATGGAATTAGCATAGAATTTAGCATTGAAATAGCTGAGTGATTAGCTTGTACCTGCTGCAGAAATAGCTGTGTTAAAGTCAGAGCATACACATTCACCGAGGCCCTTAGTACAAATCAAAACAGGATAATTTAGCATTGAAATAACTAGGCGAATTTAGCATTGAAATAACTGAGTGATTAGCTAGTGACTGGTCACAGAAATGACTACACATCTGAGCTATTCACAGTACTATATAGTGAACCAATAAAAACTAAAATATAAATTACCTTCATGTTATCAATAAACTCTATATTCTCCAATCAGCTAAGCTACCAACAATAAGTCGTTATATATCACAATGCTATATGGCGAAAAAATGGGTGGATTCTTACCCTCAAATTTCAGCACCACGGATAGCTACGGGCCCCGTTCAGACGGACGAGTTCGTCCATGGTCGGAACAGAGGAGGGGGAGAGAGACAGCTGCGAGGCCCTAGTATACTCCATGTTGTAAAACTATACCATTAACCGTGGTGTGAGAGGTATTAAGAGGCAATGCTGGCGAAAGAGCTGCGGTCTGAAGGTCATCGTAAAAATACAATTAATTAAGAACAGAAATGATTTAAAACATCTTTCCAGTAATTACTAAGCCTGAATCCATCTTCTCGGTTGAAATTGTCTCTGTGCTTGTATATGTGAATGGCCTCATGAACGAATCTCTCATGGTAGCCGGTTGGTTTGCAAAGAACCTCCGTCTTGGAGAATTCAATGTCATGTGAGCCCACTGAATAATAACAGTGATCTGCCACGGCAGAGGAGTTCGTCCTACCGTGTTTCAGGTCTGCTTTGTGTTCGCGGATGCGGTCCGAGATATGTCTTTTGGTTTCTCCAATGTAGCTACTACCACAGAGGCACTTTAGTTTGTAAACGCCCGGGTACTGTATGTCTGGAACAGCATCTTTTACAGATGGAACTAAATCACGGATTTTATGTACTGTGTTGAATCGGACCTGGATCTTGTGTTTGTTCAGGATTTTGGAGATCTTTTTAGTGACCCCTGCAATGTAGGGTAAGGTGATGGTTTTGAGTGGCTCCACAAGAGGATCCTTCTTCATGACTGGAGTGATGGCTTTGCGGATTGTGTAGTCGGAGTAGCCATTAGCCCTGAGAGCCTGGTGTACGTGCTTGAGTTCACTGGTAATGTGTTCCTAGTCGGAAATGCATTGGGCTCTATGGTATAGTCTTGATGAGGGAGTTCTTCTGGGATGGATGGTGGTGGGAATCCAGTTTCAAGTAAGCATCTGTATGGGTAGCTTTCCTGTAGACAGAGTGGCTCATTGAACCATCATGTCTCCTTTTAATTAAGACATCCAAAAAGGGTAGTTTGCCATCTTTTTCGACCTCCATGGTAAATCTGATGGCTGGGTGTATGGAATTGATGTGGTCGCGGAATTGGTCTAGAGCAGGCTGGCCATGTGGCCAGATGACAAAGGTGTCATCAACGTACCTCTTCCATAAGGTCGGGCGTAGAGTGGCAGTCTGGATGGCGTCAGTTTCAAATTTTTCCATGAATACGTTGGCTACAACCGGAGATAGGGGGGAGCCCATTGGGGTGCCCTCAGTTTGTTTGTAGAAGGTTCCATTCGAGGTGAAGTAAGTGTTGGTTAAGCAATGTCTCACCAGGGGGGGTACATCAGTATGCAGTCCTTGATGAACCAGGTCTTCAATGATAGCGATGGTGTCAGGTACTGGGACTTTGGTGAACAAGGACACCACATCAAAACTGACAAGCAGGTCGTTTGGGGACAGGGAAATGCCTTTGATTGTCGATACCAGGTGAATGCTAAATTCTATGCTAATTCCATTGTCAAGGGGTGCCTCTGCGGATGTGTATGCCTTAACTTAGCTATTTCAATGCTAAATTCTATGCTAATTCCTTTAACAATGGGTGCCTCTGCGGGTGTGTATGCTTTAACTTTTAACATAGCTATTTCTGTGACCAGTCACAAGCTAATCATTCAGCCATTTCAATGCTAAATTATATGCTAATTCCTTTGTCAAGGCGCTTTGTTCCTCTCACACAGCTTAAAGGTCGTGATCTGAACGTGGCTCTTTCACTCCAGCGCTGTCCTACCAGACAGTCTCGCCCCTTCACCTGATGAAGGCCGCTTGTGTTGTGGCCGAAACGTCGTGAGAATATTATTGTGTTATTTTATTTTATCAATTTATTATTTTATTATCATTCTATGTGACTTTACCGAAAGAACCAAAGAAGATGAATCATTGCAGTCACGAAAGCTTTAAATGTCAGTCTATTGTCTAAAGATCCCATCAGAGGCCAATCTGTCAGTCTATTGTCTAAAGATCCCATCAGAGGCCAATCTGTCAGTCTATTGTCTAAATATCCCATCAGAGGCTAATCTGTCAGTCTATTGTCTAAAGATCCCATCAGAGGCCAATCTGTCAGTCTGTCAAAAGATCCCATCAGAGGCCAATCTGTCAGTCTATTGTCTAAAGATCCCATCAGAGGCCAATCTCTCAGTCTATTGTCTAAGGATCCCATCAAAGGCTAATCTGTCAGTCTATTGTCTAAAGATCCCATCAGAGGACAATCTGTCAGTCTATTGTCTAAAGATCCCATCAGAGGCCAATCTGTCAGTCTATTGTCTAAAGATCCCGTCAAAGGCTAATCTGTCAGTGTATTGTCTAAATATCCCATCAGAGGCCAATCTGTGAGTCTATTGTCTAAAGATCCCATCAGAGGCCAATCTGTCAGTCTGTCGAAAGATCCTATCAGAGGCCAATCTGTCAGTCTATTGTTTAAAGATCCCGTCAAATGCTAATCTGTCAGTCTATTGTCTAAAGATCCCATCAGAGGCCAATCTGTCAGTCTATTGTCTAAAGATCCCGTCAAAGGCTAATCTGTCAGTGTATTGTCTAAAGATCCCATCAGAGGCCAATCTGTCTGTCTATTGTTTAAAGATCCCGTCAAATGCTAATCTGTCAGTCTATTGTCTAAATATCCCATCAGAAGCTAATCTGTCAGTCTATTGTCTAAACATCCCATCAGAGGCCAATCTGTCAGTCTATTGTCTAAAGATCCCATCAGAGGCCAATCTGTCAGTCTATTGTCTAAAGATCCCATCAGAGGCCAATCTGTCAGTCAATTGTCTAAAGATCCCATCAGAGGCTAATCTGTCAGTCTATTGTCTAAAGATCCCATCAGAGGCCAATCTGTCAGTCTGTCTAAAGATCCTATCAAAGGCTAATTTGTCAGTCTATTGTCTAAAGATCCCATCAGAGGCCAATCTGTCAGTCTATTGTCTAAAGATCCCATCAGAGGCCAATCTGTCAGTCTATTGTCTAAAGATCCCATCAGAGGCCAATCTGTCAGTCTATTGTCTAAAGATCCCATCAGAGGTCAATCTGTCAGTATATTGTCTAAAGATCCCATCAGAGGCCAATCTGTCAGTCTGTCTAAAGATCCTATCAAGAGGCCAATCTGTCAGTCTATTGTCTAAAGATCCCATCAGAGACTGGTTTGTCACCACAACCATCAGTGGATTGACTGCTGCAGAAAATTGTACAAGCAAAAGACACCACTTATGCATTTACATAATTACAAATTTCTATAGTACAAAACCACTGAGCCAACTCGTGCAAATGCGGAAGGTTGATTCTTGTCGCATATCGGCTGGCAATTGGGAAAATATTGATACATTTTGACTTCGTTGAGCCTCATTATAGAGGTGTCCCATCTCACAGTGGTCATTGGTGTCTGCTTTTGCCCATGGCATTTGCACGCGGCTTTGCAGGTGGCAATCATCATCGCCGCCATCGGCCATGATCCATTTACTGCTGGATCAAGGCCTCTCAAAACCACAGCAACCTCTCTCGTGATCCCGTGATATGACAATCCACCCGGCACCGGCACGTGAACAGATTTCATCATTCCATCTCCATGGTAGACGTGATCTCTCCGACGGGTTCCCTTCCTGGGTCCCCGTTCCCTTCACGATTCGTGACCTTTCGGCCAGCATGTCCTTCTAGCCGTGATGTCGTTGCCGTCCACAAGCCCGCTCGCATGTTTTGAGTTTTTAATTATGAAGTTACCCTGCTTATGCTTTTCTAATCCACGTGTTCTTCTCTCTGGCCTCTCAGTCTGAGGACCATCGGTGAAGTTGAAATCACGTTCAGGTTGCATTGTGCAAATACTGGGAAACAGTCACCTGGATGGAGATTGAACAGATGCATTGATTAAAAACTATTTCCTGTGAGTAAACACAATCATCAGATTCTCTTAAGTGTTTTATTCTTTCATTTATCATTAGTATAACTCTCTGAAGCAGAAAAAAACAAAAACCCTGGAGCATTATACAGATAGAGACTTTACAATTACATTTCAATTATTCGTATATTCTTTTCTTTTTTTCTTTTCCTGTATTTTAGCATTTCCAACATGAGCAGACGAAACGATAAAAAAAGATTTTTTTGTAAATGCCCCTAACAACCACTCTTAATTGATGACGAAAACGATAAAAGGTGTTTGGACGTCCTTATCACGAGAGACACACAAGCATTTTGCCCTCCTATGGACTCATCAGTGAGCCATGCCCAGCTTACAGGCTGCCAAGGAAAAGCCAACAGTGTCAAAGAGGTGAGGTGATGGCAGCTAATATGACAGGCCCTTAACTGCAACAGCAACGCACGTTGGAAACAAAACAGAAATTAAATTAATACTGACCTGGCCACGTGGGTTCGTTGCTATGATGTTGGACTCTCAACTTGAAAGTTACAAGGTCAAATTCTGACCAGGGGGCCAAACGCAGCCCATCATAATTCCGAGGCCGCGTAAAATTAGGATCACTTTGTGGCCATCCTACGGAGAGACTGGTCCCCACCATAGGCAATGGGACTTTACACAACTGGCTGGCACAGGAGTGCCGTCCCGTTGCTCGTTTGAGCAAAGGAGACAGATTGACGTCAAATTGCACAGCTGGGTATGGCGTGCCGATGAGCCGTAGTGTGACGATGATGGCGATGATGGTGATGACGGAGGCTCAGGTCAACTCTGGTTGTCAAAACAAATCTCTTCCAATTGTGAGCCTTGCAAAAAAAACCCCATAAAGCATGGCACAATCTTAATAAACAATCAAACAGTGCTCAAAAATATACATTATAAACATCAGTACTATACAGAACCTGAACAGTGTGTCACAATATGTCCAATGAAAGTTGCACAATTAGATATCCCAATAATAATAAAAAAGTGCCATTGTATATATTGTGTGCGTTGTTACGTGGGCTACAAAAGGCCCCTTTTGAATACGAAAATAATTAAACCGATTGTGGTAATTTCGAGGACCGATTACTTATCCCTCGCAGCACACACAGGTGCTCACCGCAGGCAGGGCCATGATAAAGGGGCCTTTTGTCTTGGCCATTACAACAAGCCGCTGACCTGCAAAAGGCTCGCGAGTGGAACCTTTTGGGGAAAAAAAAGGATACTTCCTTATTTTTTGTTAATAATTCTATTTTAATTGAATGCAGCAGATGCGTAAGATAACAGACCGCTTCACCCTCTTGAATCGTGACTATCCAAAAAGTGTAAATGTTATACCATTACAAACGTGCCAACGCTCGCGAATTGAGCGGCAGGCCGCCGATACCTGAACCCCAAACCCACCCCCCCCCCTTTCTGAGCATTTATTTTCAAAGCAAACAATTTGCGCCAAAGTGGTTTGTCCCACATTTTGTTATTGTTGAAAAAGCGGTGACTCCTTAAGCTTTTAAAACTGGCACGTGGCAAAAGGGTCTTGAACATTGGCAGCGTTCCGCTAAAATCGGCAGGGGGTGGGTGGGGGGCGACTGTGCCATCATCGTTATTCATGCGCAGTGCCGCGGTTAGAACGTCCGACTCGCACGCCGACGGGTCGTGAGTTCAAATCCCGGTCGTGGGCGGCTACGTACGGTGCGAAAGAAGCTCAACGTACATGCATACGTACAGGCGTCAGTCTATTTGATCAACTGTGGAAAGGCAACAGTAGCCCTATGAAGAGTCCGATCCGCCGCCACCGCTATTGGAACGTGGAATTTCCATCATTGGCTCGGGGCCATCGGTGGAGATGAGCGCCGTCCACAGCCACATTTGAAGCAGCGGTCACATTTTTTATTTGAAAGCAACGTTAATTTGTGGAGGAAAGGAAGCAACGAATGCAATTGATATGTTAGATCTGTTGATTGACCTAACACTGAGCAGCAGCAGCAGCAGGGTCATTGTTCTAACTTGTAACGTTTTTGAACGTCATACATTCTCACACAAACATTTCTACTCCTCTGGGGACGAAGGTCGACCGTCCGAGGCTTCGATGTGGCGATGGATCGTCGCAGTTCACTTCCGTAGGAATAAAAGCTTGCAAACAGACGCACATTTTATGAACGCGTATATAGAATATCATACACAACTTGTGTTTCTGTTTAAAGAAAAAAGTGTGCATAGCTACATATAATTAAAGTAGTACTCGTGATGCATATAGTCTGCTTGTTGGCTCTTGCCTATCCAAAAGTTAATGCTATTAATAGTAGAGTATTAGTGTATTTATATAATTAGATTTGAGGTCAATTGCACCCATTCACGTCAAATGTACACACTTAATTACCCCCCCTAATAGTTCAAAACGTTCCTGTAAATGTTATACCAAATAGTTAAACCCTTTAACCAAGAGAGCCTCAAGTGAGTCGAAAGATTCTTTGCTGGGAGGGTCTTGCTTCATGTTCTCTGTGGGGGGGGAGGGCGTAGGAGCCCCAAGTGCCCAGCGAAAACCCACATGTACGAGGGGACAATACGGACAAGCGGCTTGTTCGGTATTGCCTGCGTCTGTTCCGTGACCTTCCATCGGGCGACGTCTCACCTCTCCACCGAGAGTATGCGAGCACCTAGCCTGGTGCAAGGCATCAAGGATGATGTCGCCACCATTTAGTGGTGGAGAGTTTGCTGCACCTTCAATTAGCGCAGTTGGCTTCGTACGGTGCCAAATAAATGTATACATACACACATACATGCGCTGCAGGAGATGTTGACGTTTGCTGAAAAGTCATTAATGTAAATTATTTGGGGTCAGTTACTTTAAATATAACTGCAGGAGACAGTTTCTGAATCAAGAGACAATGCCAATTGTACCACCACACCTTGACATCACTTCCTTCCCTTCCGCCAAATCCCTCAACTGTTGCACGGTGAACACCCGGCCCCAAAAGTTTGTCTTACAGTTTCATCACCACCACCCTCTGACTGGGTGCCACTCGAATGCCCGTCTCGATAACCTGCCCTCCTGTATCCTCCACACACACCCCACGCATCCTAATTTCCTCTCTGCCTGCATTCTATTCCGAACTCAAAGGATGAGTTTGTGCCCGAAACCTGCCATGAACTTCCGAGCATCTTCTGCATTCACCTATTCCCAAAGGATAAAAGTATCTTGGCCAGTTTATTGGTTTCTTTAAGTCCAGGAGGGTGGTCATTAGCATAAAACAACATTTACTTAGCTCCTTTTTATATCGGTGTCCATGACGGGAGATTTTCACTCGTGTCCCAAGCACCCACCTCTTCACAGCAATTTTTGATGGAGGAGTCAGGGCCACTTAAAATTTAAAACGAGTATGAATTATTTTCAAGCGGGTGTTCCTTCCAATGATTTTCATGTCAGGGATGACAAATTAGAAAAGAAAGAATCCACAATAATTTGTTGTTGTTTAAAGTCAACTTTAACTTCTTACAGGTTCTTAAATAGAAAATATTGAAATGACTCACGTTGGCGGGCGGAGGAAATGCATCGTATTTATTTCACTATCAACGCCAAAACGTATAACGACGACACTTTATTCTTCGTTTGACAGTTCTAAAGCCGCGAGCAGTCACTACAATTTACTCTCCGCGGTATGAAAGGGCGCTAAATTAAAATGTAAATATTGCCTTGCCTTCCACGGATATTATTCCCTTGCGTGCCCCGAAACCATGGCCTGAATACAAGGATCAGTTAACAAAATTCCGTCAGTTAACAATGTTAACGATTAAGCCCCTTTTCCACTGGCATATCCGTGCCGAGCCAGGCGGTGTGCTATTTGCCATGCCGAGGAGAACCAAACGCCGTCCACGCATGACGTCTGGTTCTGGTTCGGGGACCAAGCAGGGCTATGGGGCGGGGCAAATGACGCGTTTTTGTTGTGTGTGGCGTCAATCAGTTAACCCTGAGAATTCAGCATCACCCATGCTCGTCACCAACGCACGAGGACACGCCGACACCGAGTCATCTACACGCGTAGTTCCGTTCGTTTGTTGCACGCACTGACGCTGAGAGGCACGGCTCAGCTTCTCCAGCGAAAAATGGAACCTGGCGCCTCTTGCACTGTACTCGGCTGCCTTGGCATGGCCCCAGTGCGGCTTTGGTTGTGCAGTGGAAAAGAGGTATTAGTCCTTTACTCAGCTAGAAGAGCCTCAAATGACTCATTTTTATGAGGGTCTTGCCTGGGTTTTTGTGTCCTGGAGACTACTGGAGCCAAGTCTCAAGATAGCAAACAAAACATCTGGTTTCTTGAAGCCAAGTCTAAAGGAATTGAAACCTGGTCTCCTGAACCCAAGTTTCTAGGCACCAATCCTGATACCTGGTCACCTGCAGCCAGGTAAAAGACTATAATAATAAAACCCGGTCTCTCGGCAACTGAATCTCAACAAGACAAGAGATCCTGAAGTCTGATCTCTTGGGAAAGATGTCTCAAGATCCTAAACCTGATCTTCTGTAGCCTTTCCTCAATCAAGATTCTCATCTTGAAGCTTATTTTCCTGGAACCTAGGCCAAATGAGACTAAAACCCAGTCCGAGTCAAGTCTCATCCGAAATGCTGACCCTGACACCCAGTCTGCAGGTGCGTATGGTAATCTTAAAAATAAAGTGGCTGCAAGTTGTATACACACTCTATATAAATGTGTGCGCACACCAGCACACGTGTCTGTATGTATGCATCAATGTGTGTGCACGTGTGTAGGCGCACGTTCGACAGTAAATGTGCACGACTGGCTGCGACTGTGCGTGCGTACGACTGCACGATGTAAGAGCGCAAGCAAAAATGTGCGCGCACGTAGCGCACGCGTTGGCGTAAGGTCGCCGACCGGTGTGCCACGGCGGCTCGTGGGAAAAGTTCGTACGGCTAAGCTTGGTGCGAGTGCGAGCAGGCGTGTGTCTGTGCATAGGCAGCCGTGGTACATGGATGTGTACGTTTGTGTGTGTGTGTGTACGTGTACGTGTGTGTGTGTGTTCACAGCCCATTGTAGTGCGGTCCCCAGCGCTTGTTCATGTGGTCGAAGGCGTGAGACACCCACTGGTGCTCCAGCACACGGTACCGCTCGTCGCACAGGAACAGCGGCTTGCCTCGCCTGGACCACAAACACAAAGATCCCCCCCCCGTACAGACTTCAACAGAGTGCTAGTGAACTGTTAGCGAGTGCGTATTAACAACGGTACGGCACACGAGGGGGTGAGTCGGTGGCCAGCACCATGCACGGCAGCCTTTATCTGCCACCCGGTGTTGACGTTTACACACCAGGTACTTAATTTAAGGCTGAGTCAACCAAGGCGAGGCCCAGGACCGGTTCAGATAATCGCCACTGATGGTGGCCAATGCGCAGAAGCTCTTGGCGTTGTCCAGTCCCGCCAGTTCAAAGAGGAGCTGAGAACGCCGTGCCACTCAATCTGAATCAGAATATATATTTATACCGGAGGAATTCGATGAGCTATGAAGCTCTTTTTCAGAGATGTACAATCGTTTCACGGGTGTCCAATTAGACATTGGCCAAATCCCGAACAGGGCAGCAACGAAACACAAACGGTCAGCGAGTTTCGTCCTCCTTAGGAGTCGTCAGGTGGGGGGAGCAGGAGGGGCGGGGGCAGGGGGGGGGGGGGGCGGCGGGGTGCAGGGGGGCGGGGGGCAGGGGATCTCACCGCAGGTCTCGATCCTCCTCGCCGTGCGCGTCCAGGTAGACGGAGCCCCAGAGGCAGAACTGAGGGCCCCGCACGACGATCACGACGGAGGCGTGCACCAGCAGGAACACGGCCGTGCCGGCCCCGCATACCTGCGAGTGCTGCGCCCACAGAGACAAAGATCCCCGCCCCCCCCCCCCCCCCCCCAAGGTAGACTTTAAGAGGTGTGTGGTGAACACCGCGACCGGCCGATCGTTTCCACGGGCAGCTACTCATTTACGGCTGTAGTCGACTTATGGGAGGGTGCAGGACTGGTTCAAATATTCTCGGGTTCGGGTCACTGGGTTCGTAATGCCGTGTCGTGACCACTTTACCGCTCTCCACATGTACACACAGGGGAAGCACTTTTGTTTATTATTATTGTTGTTGATTTACCCACAACGGCCTTCTTGGGTCTCATAACACTATTTTTTAGGAGGGTCCTGCCAAGATGGGGGCGTTGAATGCAAATTATAATCCAATTGAGTAAAAAAAAACGTCAGCACATGTATACCACGACGCCGGCACACTATGGTCCACTCTTTTAAACGATGTAACGTGATCTTTAACATCAACTGTGAAGCAGTATTAATCAGGGTGGCCGATGATTCGAACTGTGAACCTCTACAACAAGCGCTGAAGGCACTGCTGCTGGGCCATTTTCACTGTATAAAGACAAAAGTCTCCTGTTCGGCATTGCAGACTCTGTCGCGTGGCACAGTGGTATCTGAACGAGAACTGGACCGCTTCAAAGTCAGATCCCACTAAGCTAAGCATGTTGAACCTGGACATTGCTTGGATGGGCAACCACCATGCATGATAGGTATTATAGGCTATATGGTCCAGAGCTGCTTGGCGGGTGGGAGAGCGTAATACAAATATCCCGTATAGTGTCGTACATCTATCTATGCTCCCATGTTTATGCACCACGCCTCAACCAACTCTCATCACTGTCCAGGATGGTGAAGTACGGTCAAATAACAACCCACAACCCGCACAGCGTGGGGAGGGTTCACATCCAACAGTGGATTGAGAAGGGACGTGGCACATGCACAAGTACATCTATACAAATAGACTCCGCGGGCATTAATAGCGGATTACTAATGGGGGGAAAACAACAGCAGCCGTTCTCAGCGCCGAGGTAATTAAGCACGCAGCATGCTGCAATTAATTAGCAGTTTCGAAATAACGCGGCTCGCCAATCCTGAAAGGACACGGCGGCAGCGTCAAACGGAAACTCGAACGACGGCCGTTTATTAGCTGCGTCATTGCCGTTATCGCCGAGCGTATACGGGAGGGAGGGGGGGCGTGGCTGGTGTGCGAATCGCAGCACCGAGCCAGCCGCTCCGCAGCGCGAGTGAGTGTGTGTGTGGGTGGACCGCCTTCAACATTGGGCCCCTTCCGGTGAGCGACCGTGTCCAGCCCGCTATCGCTCACACCCCGGGAAAATTTTGCATCGCCCGGAGCTCCTCGGGTGGAAAATAAAAACGTGACGTCCTACGCTTGAACGTCGCTGCTCCTCCAAACGACACTGCCAAGGTGCCCGGAGTTGGACATCTGGTGCATAATGAGCAGCGCTGGCCAATTCGACACACAACCTGGGTTCAAGCCCTGGGTTTAAACCCAGGTTGTAGGTATAACGCAAGCCCATGTCAGAAAGGGGGGGGGGGGGGGGAAGCACCCCTTCCCGAAACAGATTCTGAGGGTGGCCCAAGGGCTAGCACCACCACATTGGTTCTGCAAAAACACTTGAAACAATTCTGCACACACCCGTAGCGATTCTGCACACAGCTCGCAGAAGTTCTGCACGCAACTGGCAGCAGTTGTGCACGCACCTGCACACACTCGCAGCAGTTGTGCACGCACCTGCACACACTCGTAGCAGTTCTGCTGCTTGCAGCAGATGCCCTTGAGGCAGAGGAAGGCCCCACACACGAGGCAGAGTGCGGGGTCCTTTGGCGGCTTTCCGCAGGTGGTGCACGCGCGGCCGTGGTAGTGCTGGAAGAGGCAGCTGTAGCCGCGGGGCAGCTGCAGCAACCGCGGCTGGGCCCAGGCGTCGACGCGACGCAGCAAGGCCTGGGGGTCGGGGGAGGATGGACATGGGGGGTGGGGGAAGGGGTGGCAACGATGAATATTCACCGTCGTTGTTATCATCGTCAATATCGCGATCATCGCCGTCGTCGTCGTTATTATTAACCCTGGAGAGATGATTAGTCGAATCCTGGTTTCGCAGGAGAGTATAATCCCAATCGAGTACACTGCAGGGTAAAGTTTTTCAAATTTGGCAGGTTTCGACCGTGACGCCTATTCTTGCGAACGACGTCACGGGATCTATCACATCCGCTCTGAAGCAGACAGCGCATACACCCGTAGTGTCAACCAGGGCGGCCGCTGGATTCGAAACCGCGAACCTCTGCAACAAGCGGTGAACGCGCCACCGCTGAGCCACATCACCACTAATCTACGCAAGAGCGTCCAAATGTCAGTGTCCTTGTCTCACGATGACACGATGCCAATAGCAGCACAATATGCATTAATTTCGTGTCTGTCACCATGACGGCAAAGGCATGTGACATTACATCGTGACATTGCAAGAAACGGGGGCAAATTATAGTTGTTACATTGAATTGTTTATTTAGTTTTCATATCGAAATATATACAGCCCGTCTTGAGTGACTGAGTGATTGATGTGAATTCTAATGGTGTTCCAGAAGCTTCATAAAACTGAAGGGTACAAATTCAGTCACGGCCATGCTTATGACGCCAGTCGGTACGCGGCGAGGACGCGACGTCACGGCCGCGTCGCCTACGCGTGCATCTCCGCAACGTGAGCAAGGCGGCTCAGGGTTCCGCAGTGGACAAAAAGATCGTGGCGCCTCCCGTGCCACGCCATGCCGACCTCGACAACGGGCCCCATCCGGCACGGCTTGACCGCGCGGTGGAAAAAGAGTGATGCGCGCACACACACACACACCAGGCCGTCCGCGGGGCTGCGGCAGGTGATGCCGCTCAGCTCCGAGCACCACCGCCGAACGAGGAGGCGCGGCGACGTGGACCAGCGCAGGCAGCGAGCGCTGGCGGGGGCGGCGACGTCTGCGCCGGGGTTGGCGGCCGCGCCGGCGGAACTGGGGGGGACTCCGATCGCGGAGGCGGGCGCCTCCAGGAGGGACAAGAACTCGGCGAGCGCCGAGAACTCCTCCTCTGGGTTCTGAGAGCGGAGGGCGAATATGCAGCGACGCTCGTCACACGGTGATCAGCTGATGCCACGCTACTAAAACTATTCTAACTACTATTTTTTATTTTGTTTAACACGTAGGCTTTTGCGACCAATATTATTCATAATAAAGGTTTTTGGGTTAGATCGCGTTCTAACCCAAAAACCTTTATAATGAATATTTTTATTTTACCAGGAAAGGGCCCACTGAGCTATATAGCTCTTTTACAGAAGCGAGCTGGCCACAAATCATAGCTCGAGGAAGTGGCTTATCACGTGGAAATTTATAGCAGCCAAATACATACATGTAGACACAGTGTAATCATCAGGGGGACTACGGTGAGATGAGAGGGGACAGGTAGGAGAATGCAGTGAGGGGAGTGGAGTGAGATGAGAGGGGAGTGGAGTAAGATGAGAGGGGACAGGTGCGAGAGTGCATGGAGGGGAGAGGAGTGAGATGAGAGGGGAGCAGTAGAATTCGAGGAGAGCAGCGTGAGATAAGACAGGAGTCCGTAGCGGGGGGGGGGGGGGTAGTACAGCGCGATGAGAGTTGAGAAGTAGGCAGGATCCTGAAGACGGTGAGCACGATCTCGAAATCGATCCGGATTTTGATTGTAAGGCAGTGGAGGGGCTGTAACATTGGGGCGACGTGGTCTCGGCCATGGTTGCATGTTGACGAGTCTGGCAGCGGCAGGGGCACGTTGAGTACAGGGGGAGGGGCGGCATACTGGCGTCAGGGCTTGTGTGACCCTCACCTGGCAGGTGGGCAGCTCATCGCGGTACAGGTGGTGCTGCAGCAGGGCCGCCACGCGCAGGAAGGGCAGCACGCCCTGCTGCACCGAAAACTCCACCGAGTGCGGCGACCACACGCAGCCGCTCAGCTGCAACGGGCAACAGTCGCTCCACGAGTGAGTGAATGAGCGAGCGAGCGACTGGGTTGGTGGGTATGTTAGTGAGTATGTAAATGAGTGATTGAATTCGAGAGTGAGTAACTGGGTGGGTGTGAGCGGCGGGCTGATGCCCTAACTGTTGAGGAAGCGTGCAGAACAATCCAGAGCCTGAGACCAGGTAAAGCGGCGGGCAGAGATGGCCTCTCAAGCGAACTCTAGAGGAATTATGGCAATGGTGTGCAGGCTGCCCTATATGAAAACTGCCTGGTCTACAGGATATGTTCCGCAGGATTGGAACGATGCCTTGGTGGTCCCAATTTTTAAGAAAGGGGATCGCACCGATGGCAGTTATGCCCTCCCTCCTGGGTTTAATCAGTTGGCTCGGTCACGTAGCCCACATGCCCAGCCACTGCATACCCATGCAGCTTCTGTTTGGATGGATAAAGGGGGCTAAATAGCCAAGGCATGGGCTGGAGAAGAGATGGGCTGATGCTGTACAGAAGCATGCGGAGCTGAGTGGACTAGCTGATGACTGGTATCAGCAGTGTCAAGTTCGGCTCTATGGCTTGTGAAGGATGCTACAGGGCAGTTCGAGGCAACAACAAATTTGGAGCAACACTCACAATGAGCGGAGCACCGGGTGGCTAAAAAACAGAAAGTTGGCAGAGTAGGAAGTACAGAGGGTGCATCTGCCAGTCATCTCGGCAAGTAAACCCATAACACCTGGGTCTGTCCTGTGACCTCATGCCAGCAAGCCTTCCACACTACACGTGGCCTCAAGGTTCACCTAGCCTAGCACCGTGGTGATGTCACCGCCATTTAGTGATGAATGGCAGTTGTTGTTGAGTGTGTGCGAGCGAGTGAGCACGTGAGCAGACAGGCAAGTGAGTGAGTGGATGATCAGGTGAGTAGGCAGGTGAGTGAGTGAGCAGGTGAGTAATGTATCCGAATGTGGGCCTCACAGCTGTGGTGTCTGCTCCCGGCTGCTCCTTCTCGTAGAGCTGTGTCAGCCCAGCTGTGACGATCGCCAGGATCTCCCTCCACGAGCACTCGCCATCCTCACCGTCCGTTCCCTGCGACACCTGCAGCACCTGGGGAACACGTCGGTGTCACGTGTTAACACAAAGACAAATATCCCCTGCATATAACCTCGACAGACTGTTGGGGCAAGTGTTGTTCGCGAGCACCTATGAAGGCCTTCACGGCACACAAGGGGGTGGGTGGCCAGCACTACGCCTGACCGCCTTCGTCTCCCTCGTAGTGATGTTTACACTGCACCAGGTACTCACTTGAGGCCGAGTCGACGTAGAGGAGGCCCAGGACCAATTAAAATACTCGTCAGTGGTGATGGCCGTGTGTGGGATTCAAACTGGGGTCGACGGGTTCGTCGCGCAGCACGCTAACCGCAAACACTACCACTCCCCACACATGTTAACACACCCGAGTGCGCGGACAGAAATCCCCCTGTAACCTTATAGATTGTTGGGGTGACGATGGACGGGTTAAAGGTAGCGGAAGTTCGACTCACGACTCAAATGAGTACCTAGTGCGATGTGTAAACATGGCCACTGGGGATACAAAGGTGGCCGGGCGTGGTGCTAGCCACACACCTCCTCGTGTGCTGTGCCAGCCTTTGTAGGTGCTCACTAATAGCACTTGGTGCAACAGTCTACTTTAAGGCTATTCGGGGGATCTTTGTCTTTGGTGGTGATGGTGGTGGTGGCGCTGGCTGTGCCGGCAGTAGTGGCACAGGCGGATGGGAGACTCCGGATACCTGCGGTCGGCTCTCCCCCTGCATCCACGCGGCTCTCTCGTCGGCTCCGAGGCGGAGAGACAGGGCGGCCAGGGTCTGCACGTACGCAAGTGTGTACAGGACCCGCACCACGCACGTCACGTGCTCTGAGGAGGCAAAAGAGGAGGAGGCGGTGGAGCGTAGAGAGAGTGGGGAAACGAGGTGGGGAGGAGGTGAAGGGTAAGATAGTTAATACAACACTCTCATGCTCATTTTCTGCTGGTACAGCTTATCCAAGCCAGCACGGAGCTCTCACGGTATTGGGCGTTTTGCCACAAGAAGCAAACCAAACCGTGAAAATCTGGCCTCGCAATACGTCTGAATCTGGCTCAGGGCCGAGCAGGGTGAGGGGTGTGGTTCTTCGTTATCGTCACATGTTTCGTCACTAGGTGCACTGACCCACGTAAAGAACGGTCGTTGCATGCGATGTCAGCGGCACGGCCCGGGTTTGGCGGTGTCAACTGTGCCGGGCTGACTCGGCACACATTACACGCACCGTACGCAGTCCAATCTGGTCACGGCAAAACGCCTGAACGGTGCCAGGTAAAGTAACATTGCCCTCCAGTAACCCCGATTAGTGGAGGTAAGACGCTCATGGCAACAGCTGAAAATCGTTCGAGGCTGATTCCAAGCGGAAGGCCTCACGTGGCCACGAGTTGTGTGAAATGAAGCCGTGGGCCATGTCCGGCCCCGTTGGGCCGTACGTTCTTCACTGCTACTCTTAGGTCAGGTGACATCTTGGTTAAAGGTCGTGACTCATAGTTGGGAGTCGGTTCAGTTGATCATTCCCTCTGGGGTTGATAAAACGGAGGACCGCTTTGCATGACACGACCAGGCTCTCCACCACTGGCTCGTGGATGCCGATAGCATGCCACCCCATGCTCGTGTGAGGAGTAGGAGGAGACTTTCATGTTGACTTTTGAGGGTCACACAGCAGGAATGGAAATAAATATTTGGCATCATTAACGGTCATCGACATCAATGACATCACTCACAAGCAATGCCACTACTCACCGCTAATGAGAAACCTCACCATGGCTTGCATTGACCGGTATTAGCCGCCATCACTCGTGCCAAGATCACTCACACCCAATAACACACAATGACATTCATAATCACTAGTCACTGACAACACTAATTTACATCACTCACATTGCTCGCACTAAGTGACATCATTGACATCGCCCACCGTCACACACACTCTATGATACTCACTCATCTCGATCACCATTCGTCACTCATCCGTAACCGACATCACTCACACCAGGCGACATCACTGATATAACAACCGCCATTCGCCAATAAGTGGCGGTGACGTCACCACGACGCTTGTGCCAGGCTATGTGCACCTTGCGGCCACGTGAAGTGTCGAACGCCCGCTGGCAGGAGGTCACGGGACAGACCCAGGTGCCACAGGTCGACTGACTGAGACGACTGGCTGATGCACCACCTGTGCCCCCCTACTACCAACTTGCTGTGCTTTAGCCACCCGGCGCTCCGCTCGACATCACCCACCTTCACCCACACTCGCTGATGCTCGCTTATCTCACTCATCGCTCACAATCACCGACATCACTCACTGGCATCACACAGAACGACAACACTGATAACACTCATCACTCACGACCATCACTCATACTTATCACTCACCATCACTCAGACATACAAACATCACAGCCTGTTGTTGTGATGAATTAAATAAAAAAAAGCATTACAATTCTGTAATTGCCAGGCAATACCAATACAAGGGTGGCGCAGAATCAGAATGTGGAGTTTCCATCACTGGTTCAGCGCATTCTTTCTTGAACAAGGATATACACTTGACTTTTAATCACTTTTAACATTCATCACATTTTCATGAACTTTTTAACACAGGTCCATAAAATGTGTGTCTGTGTACATATGTAGCGCCATGGATGGGCTGCACTTGCAGGCAACGACAGGCAGCCCTGAAGCAGTTGGGGGGGCTGTGAGGGATTCTATGATCCCTCGCAAACACTCCCAAAGGCTGGGGGGCTGCGGCTGCACTGACCTGCAACGGCAGACATGCGGACCTCGGTGGGGTCACCCACGTCCCTCACTGAGGTCCGCACCTCGGCTGAGAAACGGATATAAGGCGAACCTCTGGAGAGGTCCAGGCAGTTTAAAAACCGAAGCAGTTGGAGACGGAAGCAGTTGGAAACCGGAGCAGTTGAAGACAACCAGTTGAAGAAAGAAGACCTGCTAGAGTAGGACTCTGAACCCCTAGCTTCGCCGTCCTTTTAAGGGCCGAAGCTCTGTGAGGTCAGTGTTGGACCTGTACCATGGCTGGGTCAGGTCAGGTAGTCTCACATAGTATATTATAGCCGGAGGACCTGGAGCGTAGTCGGGTTAGGCACGCTACACAGGAGGCTATAATATAGCAAGTGGAAGAGGTCCTCAAGATCAACTGTATGAAGAATTGATGTATAGTGGTTAGGGTACGTGTGGATAATAAAGACGTGCCCCCCCCTACGAAGTGTCTCCGGAGCAACACTACACATACATGCATGCACAGAGGGTGGTGGCCCAGTCATTTACGATTCTGGATAAACGGGTTTGATTTCCGGCTATGACAAACATCAGTGGCTTGTGAAATCTGAACTCAGACAGCGGTGGCCGGGCATATTTCCCAGCCACACCACCCTCCAAGTGTTCCTGCGCTTGCCTTCATAGGTGCTCTCTAACGTCACTTGCACCGAGAGTCTGTAAGGCTGAATGGAGTATGTTTGTGGTCTGCGCCTGAACTTCTTCTCACAGAGGAATGACAAATTTCCCCTGGATTAATTTATGTGATACTGCATTGGAAGTGGTGCACAAGCACAACTAACAAAATTACCCAAAACACTCATCAATAACACTGGCCTGAAGAGGACAAATATATTACTGTATTCTCCGGATTATAAGATACTCTGGAAAGTAAGATGCAGCAAAAACTTGTGTCCGGTGTCAATAAAGTTGTACAAATCTGATCGCACATGCGCGCACACACACGCCTACCGGATTACTAGATGCACCCCCAGCTTTTAATTTAAAATTCGGTGGGAGGGCGCGGGGAGAGAACATCTTACCATATGGAAAATACGTGAGTAGGAAGAGGGATGACCACTCTACTATGAAGGGCCATTGCCTAAAACGTCACCTACTACATACTTTTTCTCGTTAGGGAAAGTGTTATTGACGAAGGTATGTATTGCGTTTCCCTATGGCTAGGAGGCAGGAACAAGGGTGGTTTCTCAGCACATGCCAAATTGTGTGCAATCCACCAACCCTGCCTCCAGAACGCTGCATTGCGGACAGAGTGCCCGGCAGATATGAACGTCAGGCCGGAAACACCGTTCCCCTCTGCACAAAAAATCCCGAGCGGCCACCATAAGTGAATCAAAGCAAACCAACCATTGAAAAATAAAATAGCGCACCACATAAAGAAGCGCGTTACATGCACCACTCGGCCGTGAGTGTCCCGGCTGGGGATGGAGGATTCGTGGGGTTCTATGGCGGTGTTTCTATGGGGGCTGAGAGAACTGCCCCGCTGTTAAAGAGATGCGAGGGCCATTACGGCATCCCTGTTGAGGAGGCGGAACCTCCAACTGGCTCCGCAGGGGGCCCAGCGGCCAGGGATTTTCTCCGTACGCCAACTCACAAAGACAACTAAGATCCCCCGCATAGCCTAAACAGACCGTTGGGGCAAGTGACATTAGCGAGCACCTATGAAGGCCGGCACGGCACACGAGGGGGTGGACGGCCAGCACCACGTCCGACAGCTGCTGCTTTCTCGCCAGTGGCGATGTTTACGCACTCACAAGGTACTCATTTGAGGTGGAGTCGACCTTGAGGAAGGCCAGGGACCAGTTTTAGATATTCCTCACTGGTGTTGGCCGTGAGTGGGAATCGAACTCGGGTCGCCGAGATCGTAGCGGAGCGCCCGAACCGCTACGGTCACACACCCAGCCCAAACGCTCACCTATCCTAGTTCTTTGCTGTGTTTTTTCAGATCTGAAATGAGGAGACTTCAGGAAGGCAGTGCACGTCAGCCACGTCGTGTTCGATCAACATGCAGCACAACACACAACATTATCGGAGAGCTACAATCACTCAAAAGTGCTTGCTGCACCACCGCCACCACCGCCGCCCCCCCACCACCACCAACGGCAACAATAATCTACAACAATTTCACGTTTTGTTTTTGAGCCAAGGTCGGACACGACCTGGGGGGCTGGACTCATCTCGAATTCCGGTTTCCCTGTTTCCCCAAAGGGTCCCCAATCGTAACCCCCCCCACCCGATTCCCCACCAGACCCCCCCCCCGCCCCCACACCCCCGCCCCCCACCGCCGGCCGACCTCGCCCACCATTGTTGCCGCCTTCCAAAGCAATTAAAATCCGTCGCGCAAATCGTTAGTGCGCCTCAATGTGTCATGTCACGGCGGCCCGGGGCAAAGCAAAATTCTAACTCACTCCCTTGCACATGCACGCACATAGACAAAGATTCCCGTATAGCCTTAACACACTTTTGGGGGAAGTGCTGTTCGCGAGCAGTTATGAAGGCCGGAAACAGCGCACGATGGGGGTGCCGTTGTCTCCCCAGAGTCCATGTTTACACATCGCACCAGGCACTCATTGGAGGCTGAGTTGACCTAGGGGAGGCCGTGATCGGGAATCGAACTCGGGTCGCTGGGTTCATAGCACAGCGTGATAACCACTGTGTCACCGCTCCCTATAAACAAGTTTTTTTGAATGAGCAAAATCGGTCATTGGCGATGGTGTCACCCTAATGTTACTAGATTATTGGCCGTGCGGACTGTGGATAGAAACGCCCTACTCACAGTGGGAAGATCGTGAGTTGAAATCCTGGTTGGGATTTGAAGGCTTCTCTTCCATTCGAGGGGTTGGTAAAACAAAGTGCCCATGTTGAATGGGTAGAGAGAGAGAGAGGCTCAAGGAGGATATGGTGAGCATTGGTCTAAGGCAGGGGGATGCCACAAACAGGGCAGAGTGAAGCAGGGAGGGGGGACACCTGTGAAAAATAACTTCATAGCTCATAAGATTCCTCCAGTCTAAATAAATATTTTGACAAGATGAAGAGAAGGCTCTGTAAAGAGAATCATGAGTGCGTTCCTCTGCAAAGACTGTGGTCCTTGCCATAGAAATGTCGAGTTTGTTCTGGAGGCTCAAAGTTGTGAACGGAGAACGAGTGCCACCCCAATGTTCATTTAATCCAGAGTACGATGTTCGTGTGATTACTTCTGTATATCATCATCATCACCATCAAAGCAGTGTGCATGTGTATTTGCACTGTGCTATATATCACCCTGGTTACATGAGTTCAATACCAGCCAAATAGATAACTGGCAAGTGGTCATTGGCAAGTGCAATCAGAACCTGCCATGGGACTTCCCCCCCTAGGTTTACTCAGCTTTAAATGTGTATGTGGAATGACGTCTAAACATCAGCACTGGGGCAGAAGAAGGTGGCAGGATGTGGTGCTGGCCACATCATCCCCTTGTGTGCCACCCTGCCTGCGGTGAGTATGCGCTCACTAAAAACAGTTGCCCCCAACAGTCTGCAAGGCTAAAAAGGAGTCTGTGTGTGTGTGTGCGCACGTTTGGACGTATGCGTCTGTTTATTTTTTTTGTTCTGAGCTGTGGTGTGCTGGCTGAAGATAAGCAGCCTGACTCGCAGCTGATAACAGGGACTCCCTCTCATCCCCTACGGGAAGGAGAGACCCCGAATGAATGTCAGTACAAGTTAGATTGCGGTCAAAATGCAGAGAACAAACACAGCAACCCCCATACAGTGAGGGAAAAAAGTATTTGATCCCCTGCTGATTTTGTACGTTTGCCCACTGACAAAGAAATTATCAGTCTATAATTTTAATGGTAGGTTTATTTGAACAGTGAGAGACAGAATAACAACAAAAAAATCCAGAAAAACGCATGTTAAAAATGTTATAAATTGATTTGCATTTTAATGAGAGAAATAAGTATTTGACCCCCTCTCAATCAGAATGATTTCTGGCTCCCAGGTGTCTTTTATACAGGTAACGAGCTGAGATTAGGAGCACACTCTTAAAGGGAGTGCTCCTAAGCTCAGCTTGTTACCTGTATAAAAGACACCTGTCCACAGAAGCAATCAATCAGATTCCAAACTCTCCACCATGGCCAAGACCAAAGAGCTCTCCAAGGATGTCAGGGACAAGATTGTAGACCTACACAAGGCTGGAATGGGCTACAAGACCATTGCCAAGCAGCTTGGTGAGAAGGTGACAACAGTTGATGCGATTATTCGCAAATAGAACACAAAAGAATTGTCAATCTCTCTCGGACTGAGGCTCCATGCAAGATCTCACCTCGTGGAGTTGCAATGATCATGACAACGGTGAGGAATCAGCTCAGAACTACACAGGAGGATCGTGTCAATGATCTCAAGGCAGCTGGGACCTTAGTCACCAAGAAACAATTGGTAACACACTACGCCGTGAAGGACTGAAATCCTGCAGTGCCCGCAAGGTGCCCATGCTCAAGAAAGCACATATACATGCCCGTCTGAAGTTTGCCAATGAACATCTGAATGATTCAGAGGACAACTGGGTGAAAGTGTTGTGGTCAGATGAGACCAAAATGGAGCACACAGCTGCGGACAGCTCGTAGTCACTGCATGGAATTAAGAAAGCGAGGGTGAGGGAACGAATAAGTGAGAAGGATTTGCCTGAATGCGTGTGACAATGATATCCCTCCTGAGATGTGTGCAAACCTGGTGGCCAACTACAAGAAACGTCTGACCTCTGTGATTGCCAACAAGGGTTTTGCCACCAAGTACTAAGTCATGTTTTGCAGAGGGGTCAAATACTTATTTCCCTCATTAAAATACAAATCAATTTATGACATTTTTGACATGCGTTTTTCCGTATTTTGTTGTTGTTATTCTGTCTCTCACTGTTTCATTAAACCTACCATTAAAATTATAGATCGATCATTTCTTTGTCAGTGGGCAAACGTACAAAATCAGCAGGGGATCAAATACTTTTTTCCCTCACTTGAGTTGCTCTCCCATCCATGACATTAACCTAATGCATGCACGCCGATCACAAGCATTACATCCGTTGTGACTCATAGCTTGCATACTAATAGCTGCTTACAACTTCACAGTGTCAACACACAGCTGTGGACAGCTAGTAGTCACTGCATGGAATTAAGAAAGCGAGGGTGAGGGAACGAATAAGTGAGAAGGATTTGCCTGAATGCGTGTGACAATGATATATAAGGTTTGGAGAGTGAGCGAGTGAGTAAGTATATTGGCGAGTGAGTGAGTGTAGCAGTGGGTAAATGAAGTTATTTAGCGAGTGAGAAGGTTGGCGAGTGATTCGGTGATTGAGTATAATGAACACAAACGTTGATTTTAATCGTGGCATTGAAGCATCGCTATGTGCACATTTGCGTGTCTGGTGGGCCTGATGCCGGCAGTGGTGCCGACGGTGATGGTGCCCAAGGCTGTTGACGTTGTTAGGGATGCTCACATGGATGGTGGCCAGAATGTGAACGCCGATGGTGGTCACTCGGATACAGACAACAATATCTTTGACGTTGGCAATGCTAGTGATGGTGACGGTGGTCACTTGGATGCATTGTTGTCGATGGTGATCGCGGTGATGTCGCCAGCGATGTCGATGGTGATGCCGGCCATGGCGCTGAAGACATTTCTCGCAACATCGACGATGTTGGTGGTGATTACACTCAAAGCGACGGTGTGCACGCTGATGGTGACTACAGTATGTGGTGGCGGCGGTGCCGGCCGCTGCCGACAACGGCCGTGGTAGGTGCAGGTCGTGGCCCGGGCGGTGCTGCACGCGGCACCTTTGTGGAGCGGCTGCGGCATGGTGAGGAGGAGGAAGAGCAGCAGCGAGCTGACGTCGCAGTAGAGCACGGGCACCGCGCTCTGATCCTCGCGCTCCGACTCCGCCCTGCGCTCGCACAGACGGCAGCAAACAGCGCAAGCGAACGCGCCATGTTAGCGAGCGCCTATTAACGAGGCCCGGGCACCGTGCGCATTGCTCGTGCTCGGCCACCTTTGTCTCCTCGTTGCCGACGTTCCGGAGCACGTCACCGTACCGGCTACTCATTTGTAGGCTACGCTAACCTTGGGTTGGCCGAGGCAGGTCCGGATAAAAATTGGCTCCGTGGTAACGATGGAGTTTAGGAGCCAGAAATCAAACTCAGGTGGCTGAGATTGAAGTGCAGGGTGAACTGCTACAACGTGAATGCAACCACTACAACATGAGTACAACCGCTACAACATAAATGCAACAGACAGACATAATGATCACCCTCATAGTCTTATTAAGACCAGCGCAGCACAAGAGGAGGTGATGTGGCCAGCAAACACCCAGGGCTGCCTTTGTATCCCCAGTTCTGATACACACCTCACCAGGTACTCATTTAAGGCTTAGTTTATAGAGGTGAAGTCCAGGGCTGGTTTAGATATTCGCCACCAATGTTGGCTGTGAGCAGGAATAGAACTACCCGACTACACACAAAGACAAAGATGCCCCGTATCATCTTTAACAGATGTATTGGGTATGTGCTGTTAGCGAGCACCTATGCAGGCCAGAACGGCACACGAGGGGGTGGGTGGCCATCGCCATGCCCGGCCGCCTTTGTCTCCCCAGTGGCGATGTTTAACACATTGCATCAGGTAATCATTTGAGACTGAGTCGACCTTGTGGAGGCCCAGGACCCGTTCAGATAATCGTCAGTGGTGTTGGCCGTGATCGAACCCGGGTCACCGGGTTCGTAAGCGTAGCGCGCTAACCGCTACACTACCGCTCCCCACACACGCACGTACGGACACGTGTACACACGCACACTGCAAGACACGAACAACAAAGCCAGGGCAATAATGACGACACCCGGGTTTTACGGAGGCAAAACCCTCGGAGTATGAGAAATGACGAAGAAGAGAGCGGGGGCAGCTAGGAGGAGGTGCAATCACACAATCACACACTCTCAAACCCTGCCGTGGATACAAGGCACCTGGCACTTGATGGAGCTAATGTGGCTCTCTTCGCTCTTCTCTTTCTCTGTCTCTCTTCCCATCTTGTCCACAATTCACAGCATGTGTGCGGCTTCAAAGGAGGACTCCCCAGCACGCGCAGGTGTTGCCATTAAGCGCCCCCCGGAAAATATCGAGCGTGCGGTTTTGTACGGACAGCGGGCTTTGGCACCGATTTTGTTTTGCAAGCGGCTGAGCGGTTCGAGGGGCAGGGGGGGGAGAGAGGTGGCTGGTGCCGGGGAGCGAGTGGTGGTGCTCGTAAACGAACATAATGCATCCACGTACTTAAATATATTTTTCGGTGATGCTGTTGCTTTGCAAGTGGCGCAAATAACAAAAAAAAACCACTCAACACAACCGTCAACAATGTTGTCTTGAAATATATATAAAACAGGCGACGTTTTGGGTGATGCCCCTCCTTCAGAGCGTATGGAGAGGCCAGAGAGACGAGAGTGACTCCACCTCGATGGCCTCTCTATGTCCTCTGAAGAAGGGCCATTGCCTGAAACGTCACCTATTATATTTCATTGCTTGTTAAGGCCACACAGTGCTATCAACGAATGTGTGCATCTAAACATGCCCTCTGAAAAGACAAAGGTCCCCCATATAGCCTTTAGCAGACTGTTTGGGGAAAGTGCTGTCAGCAAGAATCTCATGAAGGCCGGCACGGCACATGAGGGGGGTAAGGTGGCCAACACCATGCCTGGCCGCCTTTGTCTCCCCAGTGATGCTGTTTACAAAGCACATCAGGTACTTATTTAAGGGCGAGCCAACCTTGGGGAAGGCTCCAGGCTAGTTAATTAATTCGCCACTGTTATTGGCCACGAGAGGGAATCCAACTCAGGTGGCCGGGCTCAGAGCGCAGTGCATTAACCGCTGCGCCACCGCTCCCGACTACGCTCGCACATGCTCTGATCACGCGTGCGAATATGCACGTTCACACGCGTTCACACGTGCCCGTGTACACACACGCGGACAGACATATGCGCGCTTTGCTCACCGGTGGTCAGGTCCCACCACGTGAGTAAGGCGACTCCAGGGGTTGAAGGCGGCATCGATGCGATAGCAGTGAATGCCCAGAGCCAACACGTTGAACAGCTGACCTGTAGAGACAAAGACAAAGATCCCCCGTATAGCCTTAACAGACTGTTAGGGAAAGTGGTGTTAGCGAGCACCTATTAAGGCCGGCACGGCGCACGAGGAGGATCGGATGGCCGGCAGTACCCCTGGCTGCCTTTCTGGCCACAGTATTGATGTTCACACACCGCACCAGGTACTCATTTTAGGGTTGAGTCGACCTAGAGGAGGCCCATAACCGGCTCATATATTCGCCACTTATATTGGCCGTGAGCAGGACTCAAACTCCTTTCGCGGAGTTCGTAGCGCACCACATATCGACACGCGCAATCACACAAGATCAAGGTTGGGTAGGACACCGTGACCGGTGCAGTTTGTGCCTCCACACCTCCCCTCCTTCCAGAGCCCATCACCATTGGGATGAATGCACTCAGTGCGCTCCCACATGCACTCACTTATAAATTCATCTCATGTCTATGCAGGCAATCACGACTTGTTTCCTGCGTTATTTGAAACTGTTTTTTTTTTACCCCTATAAGCACAAAGATATAATTCCTCCTCCTATCAGTTGTTACGAGCATCTCTGTCATGCACTATGCTTTCATTTCGCTCCCGTTTGCAACTGAGCAGAACACTCAACTCATTCATCAATAATGCCGTGTGGCTTTAAATGGGAAAAATGTACAATGGGCGACGTTTCAGGCAATGGCCCTTCTTCACAGCACATACATAGAACACACATACATGGAGCGGCCTCTCTACGTATGTATTATATGCTTTAAAGAAGGGCCGTTGACTGCCTAGTATATTTCCTATTAAGGCAGTGTTATTGGCACATTTGTTGAGTTGTTTTGTTATACGTGCTTGTGCGCCGCAGTCAACACGGCTCCACAAAATTATTTGTTCGCAATTCAGCAATCAACTTCCTATTTTGGCGCTTTCATGCTCCCATTTACCGGTCATTACATCTTCAATCGCAGTGTGCAGACTTATCTGATACCATTCGTTGTATTACGAATGCTGCATCTTACGTGCTTTTGATAAGCATTTTCCTACGACGTGCTTGCTGTGCGCTTTCGGGCATCGCGTCATCCGTTTTGTGGGATGAAAAATAGGCGGAGAATCGAATCATGGGCCAGGTTTGAGCCCGACCAAGCAGGAGAGGCAAGCCGGTTATTGAATAGGATTTTCATACCATGTATTTATATTATCGAAACACCGAAGCCTTGGAGAGCAAAAAATAACGAACGATGAAAACGTTAAATAATGGTGCAGCAGCCAAGGAATTGAAAGACCGAGAGGACGTCCATGGAGGAGTTGGAACGACGATATCAGTTCATGTGCAGGTGCTGGCTGGATTGTTCTATCTCAGGATCATAAGGGTTGGTCGCGGCTTGGGGGGGGGGGGCCTTCATCCAATAGTGGATTGATCACGGCTGCAGCTGCTGATGACAATGAAAATGTAAAAAAAATTCTCTACACGTTTTTTTTTTACTTTTTAAACTTAATTGAAAGCATGTCGCGAGAGCCGGTCAATGTCGCGTTGCTGACGGTTTGTGATGCGGGCACGCTTATCGGACAGACCCGGCAAAGGCTCCGCATTACTCCGTTGGTCTATTTCGTCGAAATGACTTCTTTTGTTTCTCGTTTAGAGATGATCAAATGCAGCCATCCACTCCCGACGGAAATTTCCATACAAATGACGGCGTCACCGCCCTCCGAAACACCCGGCCTCTTCAAACATCACAACCGCAAAAAAAAAAAGGGTAACAAACCGGGAAGGGAATAGGAATTGGGGTGGTGAGGAGGGGACGGAGAAATAAAAATTAATGCGCGTTCTCAGCACGATGGACTGATTGTTTTGAAATGGAAGGGCTGATGGTGGAAGGTAGGGGAACGGCCGAGCGAGGGTGCGCGGACGCGGGCAATTTTGTCTGTGCTTTATTTGGCGGCGGTAATTGCCAGCCGCGATGTTGCCGATGGTAATCGCGGCACAAGGGAGGGCGAGTGGGAGGGTGGGAGGGTGGGTGGGTGGGTGGGCGGGCAGGCGAGGAGCGCCAAGAGAGAAGAGCACAAGCGTCGCCTGAACTCTCCTCTTGTCCCGCATTCGCTGCCGCCCGTGAAATTTCACCGCTCTGAACCTTGTCCTCAAAGATAATGGCGAGATGTTAACTACGTCGCCTAGTATACAGGAGCTTGTGGGTTCGATCCCAACCCGAACACCTGTATATTTGGAGTTTGCATATCTCTCTCTCTCTCCGTGGCCGTGTGGATTTTTCTCCGGGTCCTCCGGTTTTTCCATCCGCATTTAGAAACATGCGTTGAGAGTATTTGGCTGCTATAAACTTCCAAGTGACAAATCACTTAGTTGAGCAATCATTTGTGGGCTTTTGAAAAAGAGCTATATAGCTCAGTGGGCCTTACCTGGTAAAATAAAAATAGTAGTTAAAATCTTTTAGTAATGTAGCATCAGCTGATCATCGTGGGACGAGTGTTGCTGCGTATTTACCCTCCGGTCTCAGAACGCGGAGGAGGAATTCTCCGCTCTTGCCGAGAGAAAACTCAACTACAGTTTAGAGACAAAGAACAGCGCATTTACACGTACAAATGGAAATGACTTCGCGTAGGTAGGTGAGTGGGTGGGTGCGAGCATCGGGATTTGGACTGAGCTCTGATGACTTGGTGGCTTCGACACAGCCATTACAAGTCAGCCTCCTTGATCCACCCGGCCACCTCCTGGCTCACCAACGCAAAAACACTGCCTATAACGATTTTAACGCGCGCGGAATTCTCCGCCCAGGAAAAAAAATTATTCTTCCGACGGCGGAGGAAAAGTGTGGCGGGAACAAGTGGGTGGGAGGGGGGATGGACATAAAAGGGATTGACGCTTAATCTGACGAGCGATTTCCTCTCAAAATAGCAGCCTGTCAGCTTTAAGAGTTGCCCTCCCGCCAGCAGCGGTGTGCACAGCCAGACACTTTTAAAAGGCTGCGCTCGCAAAAGTGCGACTCTGCTCGGTAAATGGATGGGGAGGGGGGAGGCGGGGGGGGGGGGATAAGTGGTGCCTCGCCATGGTGGGGGCGAGCACTGTTAGTGAGCGACTATTACGGCTCAAATGGCACACGCCGTGTGAGCTGCGGGTGGGGGTTGGATGCGGTGACCACCGCACATGCTCAACCTGTGCCGCGGTGGCGAGATATTAACTACCTCGCCTGGTATGCGGGAGGTTGCGGGTTCGATCCCGACCCTGACGCCTGTATTTTTGGAGTTTGTATGTTCTCCCGGTGGTCGCGTAAATTTTTCTCCGGGTTTTTCCCTCCACATTTAGAATCAACGTGCGTTTGGAGTATTTGGCTGCTATACATTTCCACATGATGATAAGCCACTTCGTTGATGTATCATTTGTGATGGCTAGGTCGCTTCTGAAAAAAGAGCTATGTAGTTTAGTTTATAGTATTTGCCGACCGTAGTGGCGCATCAGTACCCATTTCCCACTGGAACATCTGAGCCGGGGGGGGGGGGGGGCTACTGGCAGAACCAAGCCAGAACCAAAACCGTGAAACTCTCTCGCCTTATAAGACATCCCAATCTGGCTCGCGGCCATGCAGGGCCATGGGTGGAAGTTAATGAATCCACGATTGCACAATTCAACGACGAACGCGTGATGTCGGCGACACAGCTCAGGTTTCTGTGAATACTGGACATCCGTTAAAAAAAGAGCTGTGTAGATCATCGGATTCTTCCAGTATAAATAAATATTTGGATTCTGATTCTGCTGTGAAAAAAAAAACAACCTCGTGCGATGTTTACACACCGCACCAGGTACTCATTTGAGGCTGAGCCGACCTAGGGGAGGCCCAGGACCGGTTCAGATAATCGTCACTGGTGTTGGCCGTGAGCGGGAATCGAACCCGGGTTGCCGGGTTTGTAGCACCGCACACTAACAGCTGCACTACCCCTCTCCATGTATGTATATCAACAACAACAACCGCCATTCGCCACTAAGTGGCTTTGACGTCACCACGACGCTTGTGCCAGGCCATGTGCACCTTGAGGCCACATGAAGTGTCGAACGCCCGCTGGCAGGAGGTCACGGGGCAGACCCAGGTGCCACGGGTCGACTGACTGAGATGACTGGCTGATGCACCACCTGTGCCCCCTACTGTGCCAACCTGCTGTGCTTTAGCCACCCGGCGCTCCGCTCGTTGTTGTGAGCGTCGCTCCTCCGCCCTCTGTTGTTGTTGGAGGGCGACTGCCTCCAACTGCCCAGTAGCGTCCTTCACGAGCCTCCTCCACAGAGGCCGATCTTGACACCGCTGGTACCAGTCATCGGCAAGTCCACTCAGCTCCACGTCCTCCTATACCACATCACTCCATCTTTTCTCTAGCCCGTGCCGCGCCCGCTTAGCCAGCTCGATCCGGCCGAACAAAAGCTGTTTCAACATGCGGTGGCTGGGCATGTGGGCTACATGACCCAGCCAACGCAGCCTTGCCTGCCGGAGGAGCTCACCGATGGGACCTTGCCCAGATCTTTCAAGGATTTGTGAGCTCCTCACACAATCCAGCCTGGTTACACCCAGGATGGCTCGTAGGCAGGCCAGTGTGTGTATGTATATATATACACACACATATACATACACACACCCCGCACCTCCGATGAGCACGGTTGGCTACGCACGGTGCAAAAGAAGTTCAACAATACATACACGCAAAGACAAATATACAAACACGTACTTAAAAAAACGCACGCGCGCTTGTGCTCATCATCATTCCTCTCCTGCAGCTCGTTCAGAAGGGACCGCGCGCGAGATCACAAAGCGGGTCGCCAAGACCATCCTTCCTCTGCAGTCAATTCTTTGCCGAAACAGCTGCCCCAGGCAATGGGTGCACGGCAGCCCGTGTGCTCTGTCACCTTGCATTCTGAGCATTCGCCGAAGACGGACTGAGCCACTTGGTTATTACGTTGCTGGGAACATGCTGCCACAATGGAAATAGTCGTGGGTGTATCTAATATATATAAAAAAAAACTGTTCGCTTGTGATTTAGTCATTGTGTTAAAAATCTATTTTTTGGGGGGGGGGGGGGGGGATTTTATAACCGATCGTTAACAAAATTGCGCTATGTAGGGGTCACGCCACGGGGAGACTAAACATCCCTTCTGGAACTCGCGCGGGTGACAGAACCCACCGTTGCCACGTAAGCTGACGGCCTCGGCAGGAGTCACTCCTTCAATTCGCTTCTCTCCCTCTACCCAAGACGGTACTCCTTCACGCTCCGCGTGTCAATCGCCCGATACACTTATACAATCGGTATATTGTTGTTTTTGGCATGCGTGGGGTGCCCGTATCTTCGTTGGGTGCTGTGCGGGTGGGGGTAAGTCGACATCACTGTGACAAGGGCCAGTCTCCACAGAACAACCACCGTTGACTAACCTGTGTTCGGATTAATAAAGGGCTTAAGTTGATCTCAAACTGGGATTTTACCATGTGACCTACCACCTATGAGTCATGTGTTCTAACCAAAAAATTAAGCAAAAAACCTAGTTAACCGACAAATGCACACAAATGACTCTTGCCTCTAACGGCAGGAAAATAAGTGGCATCGGTTTAATGAGCCACACCCTGCTGATGATCCTCGGTCTAAACAGGTCCAGGGTTTATCCCTCTTTTAAACCAACGCTCTGCTCTGGTGAAAACACTTTGGTTCAGAAAGCGCAGGTATAAGACGGGTCTGACATTTTGGCAAAGACACAGGTGCCTCCGATGCTCGTGTATTTATTTCATTATTAAGTGACCATCCGCCAAAACGGCACGTAATGATTTTGTAAAATCACTCCGCTACAGTCGCCACTCAACCGCGAGCGAAAGTCAGCGGGGTTGAGTTGAGCGAATGATCGCGAACAAAGACCGGCGGAGAAATGAACACGCGATCGCTACACCAGCACCCTGCTCACTTCACCGTTCCCCCCCCCCACTCTTCTCTCTCCCGCCCCCCCCCGCCTCACCACGCTCTCTCCCTAAAGGTTAATCGCAATAACAACAGCAACAATGGAGCGCGATGACGAACAAAAGAGAGAGTGCGAAAGAAAAAGACTATATCGCGCGCGCGCAAAAAAGGCAATCAGAGCCCAGATTAGGTGGCGTGCTGGAAAATCCGGAACAAAGGGTGGTAGGGTGGTGAAGGGCAAGGGAGGAAGGACAAACGGGTCGCGCTTGTTATTCCGCGCTGATTTCACGTCACCGTGCATTGCATCGGTGCCTGGATCAGGAGGGATTGGCGGGCGGTCGGCCAAGCGATTTTGCGAACGAATTCTAAAGAATACTAATGGCGCCTTCGTTGCCTTCGTGCTGCGTTCTATTGCAAAACACCTGCACCGCGAGAACGGAATTTGCAGACGTGGTAGGGAGGATGGGGAAGGTTGCGATTTGGTGGGAGATGTGTGCAGGATGGAAAGGAGCAGGTTACCGAGAAAGGCGTTGGAGTGGCACCAAGAGGTCAGCGACAAAGGGGGAAGAGTTGAAGTCAGACGGTGGCGATTAGATCTCATGATTAGACTTCAAAGGTCTGGTGTGTCACCTGTGCAACACTTGTGGGATTTAAGAGAAGGAAGCGAGCGATAGCGAAGTGTGCTGCCATGAATGGCAATGGTCAATATGGGCTCTTGACCTTGAATCACAGCCCTTTGTCAATCCACTGCTGGATGAAGGCAGGGACATTTTACATTTATATGATGGGAACCAGTCTAGCTTTGAGCACCATTTTGCTATGACCGGGACTAATTCATCAATCATCACTGTAGGTTCACTAGCAACTGGTATAAAAACCATGTTCCTATGATGAGGTCGTGACTATAGTTAATTGACAACATTATCTGCTGTCTTCCCTGCACCAAGCAATATATTTACTGTCCCCGGACTTATGAATGACGATGATGATGATAATGTGATAATGATGATGTTTATGATGACCTTGAAACGATAACAGTAATGATAGTGGTGATTCTGCTGGTGGTGATTATAATCGTGATAACGACAAAGTTGATGCTGTTAAGAAGAGATAACAATGATGGTTAGATGATGGTGATAATTATATGGTTACGATAATATTGGTAAAATTGGCTATTGGGTGAGCTTAACGTGTGATGGTAATAATGGTGGTGATGGTGAGATGATAATAAAGGTCATGGTAATTGATGGTGGTGATGATGATTGTTATGATGATGGTTATGATGATAATAATCACTGTGACGATCATGAAAATTATAATGTTGATAGTGAGCATGATGATCATGATTACAAGGGTGACAATGATACTGATGATGGTGAAATGATGGTGACAGCAGTGAGACAGTGACAACGATGCTTACAACTATTATCACGCTGATGGTGGTGATGATGTTGATGGCAGTGATGATAATGGTGACAGTGTTTAATATTTCAAGAAGTAACCTACTCACATTCTAATCGATTCCGCTCGCTCAAAATGCACGGCACTGGGTGCTTAGAAAGCACGTTGTGAGCTACTGTTGGTGCAGAAGGTGCTTTGTGATTATTAAGCATTGATTGAGTGTCCTTTATTTAAACAGGTGAGAGCTCGTTGAAATTCACGATCGATTTTGCCAACGACGACTGGGGTGCGGAAACGGTTATTAAATTTTACATTTCACGCAAAAATGTTGCGTCTGTGAAAATCTCGCATGTGGCATCACGTAAGTGACACCGCCGTACGCACGTTATCCTGTGAATGCGACCTTCCTGTGATACCTCATTTAGGGCCCGTGTGCGATATCCTGTCTGGGCAGTGCACTGTAGCGGTTAGCGCGCTGCGCTACAAACCCAGCGACCCGAGATCGATTCCCGCTCATGACCAACACCAATGACGATTATCTGAACATGTTTGGGGCTCCCCTAGGTCGACTCAGCCGCAAATGAGTACCTAGTGCGGTGTGAAAACATCGCCACTGGGGGACACAAAAAGCGGCCAGGCGTGGTGCTGGCCACCCACCCCCTCGTGTGCTGTTCCGGCCTTCATCGGTGCTCGCGAACAGCACTTTCCTCAACAGTCTGTTGAGGCTATTAAGGGGATCTTTGTCTTTGGGCAGCGGTACTGTCGCGGTTAGAGCACCGTGCCACGAACCCGGCGATCCGAGTTAGAATTCCGCTCACGGTCAACACCAGTAATGATTATCTCAATCGGTGCTGGGTCTCTCCGAGGTTGAATCAGCCTCAAATGAGTACCTGGTGCGGTGCAAAAACATCGCCACTGGAGATCCAAAGGGGGCTGGGCGTGGTGCTGGCCACCCACCCCCTCGTGTGCCATGCTGGCCTTCATAAGTGCTCGCTAACAGCACTTGCCCCGACAGTCTGTTGAGCGGTGGTGTAGTGGTTCGCGTGCTGCACTACGAACCGTGCAACCCGAGTTCGATTCTCGCTCACAACAGTAACAGTGGAGGATATTTAAACTGGTTCTGATCCTTCACCTCTGATTAGCACAGTTGGCTTTATATGGTGCGAAAGAAGTTTAACATAATACATCCCACATGTGATATCCCACATGTGATATCCCACATGTGATATCCAATATATATCATATGCAAAATATCCCATGTGTGATACCCTACGTGTAATATCCCATGCGTGACATGCCATGCGTGCTATCTCATGCTTTTTGATAACCAATGTATGAAATCTCATGTGAAAGACATCCTATACGTAAGACATCCCATGCACGACACCCCAAGTCTACGCTATTCCATGCATGCGACATCCCGTGTGTATGACATCCCGTGAGCGATGATATCCCCAGTCACTCACTGAAGCAGGAACGTCGAGGGCTGCCCGTGGCTCCGGTACTCAGCAGGTTCCCCCCTCTCTGCACCAACTCAAGCTCCAGGTTCACCCTGCACAGACAAGAGACAAACAGTGCCTGTCAGTGGGTGCCATGCCTTAGCAGCTGCTCGCTAACAGCACTTGCCCCTGAGAGTCGAAGATGCTAAATCGAAAGATACTTGTCACTTCATTCTTTTCCGCGTGCACGTGCACGTAAAAATGTGCGTGTGTTTGTATGCGCAAGGACGAGTGTGCACACGTGGGGAGCGGTGGTGCAGTGGTTAGTGCTGCGCAATGGACCCAGCCAACAGAGTTTGATTCCAATGCATGACCAATATTAGTGGCGAATATCTGAACCAGTCCTGAGCTTCTCCTAGGTCGACTCAGCCTCAAATGAGTACCTGGTGCGATGTGTAAACATTGCCATTTGGTAGACTAAGGCGGTTGGGCGTGGTGTTGGCCACACCACCCCTTCATGCGCCATATCATCCTTTACAGGTGCTCGCTAACAGCACTTGCCCCAAAAGTCGGTTGAGGCTATATGGGGGATATTTGTCTTTGTGTGTAAATGGTGTGTACCTATGAACAGTTGGTGCATCTGGCAATCATCTCAGTGAGTTAAAACACAACACGTGGGTTGGTCCCTTTGTGACCTCCTGCCAGTGGGCCTTCAACACTTCACGTGACCTTAAAGTACACCTAGCCTGGCACACGTGCTGTGCTGACGTCGCCGTTGCTTCGTGATGAATGATGGCTGTTGTTGTAAGGTGTGCACATAGAGCACAGCTCATTCACACAGCTGTGCACAAGTAACGTGCGGAGTGCGGGATACACAGTGGAAGAATAGAAGCAGCCCTTGAAAGCAATCATCACAATTATATAAACACCTCTTTCGAGACCCAAACATCGCACACCTCCTGGTTTTGACATTCCTCCTCGAAGACACCAGTGGTGTAACCATCAACCGCATCAGAACATCAACAGGCTCTTGCATACAACTCCTTCATGAATATAAAATTAAAGACAAGCGATTGTGGCCATGCAACCCAAACTACGGACCGTATAGTAAACTCGTAAAGACATGGAAATAGAGGAACTCAAGAGATACATAGAGACCCATAGAGACACATAGAGACCTATAGAGATGGATTCAAGACAAGCCACAGTAGTGCGATTGTGGCCAAGCTATTGCGAGTAAACTTAACCAATGTAGTCTGGGTACCGGTAGTAGCACAACTCCACAAACTCTCCCGTGAAGCCCTCTCATCACGACCAGCAGACCTGGACATTAGCATCAAGCACCCGAACATATTGCTGCCGCCATACGCAAAAATGGAATCGCAATTACACCGGGGGAGCTTGGTGAGGGGGGAGGGAAGAGGAGGGGAAGGAAGGGGAGAGGTGACGAAGCCAGCAACAGGGCCCTCTAGCTCTCCGAGGGCCACGGGCGATTGAGTGAGCAAGGTAGCAAGGTAAGCGGGGTCATGGAGACAAGGAGTTTTGACGAAACAACACTCACCCCCGCAACGCAAAAGGAAACGCAATTGCCGCGCACACCGGCATGGTGCTGTGTGGGCCGCCGCTCTCACAATCCCCCCACAGGTTGTTCCATTGCATGGCTCCTGGAATCTGCAGTTTTGTTGTTGCCATTTAACGCTCGGCAATACGCCGTCGGTTGGCCCTTTTGAAGGTCGGGGCATTTCGAGCCGCGTTCTCTCTCGGCCGCCGAACGAGGGAGCCTCTCCACGCCGTCGCTGCCACGGTGTTTGAAACGACCGGGCCCACCTCGGGCTGGTTTCATCGCTTCGTCTCCGCGGCGGACGTCCTCTTGGGCGTGTTCCCTCACCGGGCTCTCAAGTTTCAGTCCCTTGTTTGTCGTGACCATCGGCCGGCTGCAAGTGACGTGTCCTGCCCCAAGCCCACTCATGGTCGATATGATTTCTCCAGCCGGCGTATGTTTTCCAATACGCATGAAAACTGTAACATTAATGTCATTGTTCGCACCTTCGATTAGTACGGCTGACGATGTAAGGTGTGAAAGAATTTGAACATACATAAAGTTAAGCCTAAAAGAATCGCGACCTAACCTAATCAAGGGATTGCTGAATACCAATGAATGTGTCTTCCAAAAAAAAGAGAGACACGATTCTTGGTAAGTCGATGGAATCGTTGACTCTTTTTTTTTCTCCCAGCGCCAGTAACGTAGTGATGATCTATTGGCCACACAGTGGCCCAGCAGGGAGCAAAATGAGACATTAACCCTGTGGGACACTCTGCATCCAATAGCCGTGTGTGTGGGTGTGTGGGTATGAGCGGGTTGGTGTGTAGGTTTACCGGCATGTGCGCGCGCGCGTATGTGTGCATGCATCGTTGAGCGTGCTGCGTTACGAACCCGGCGACCCAAGTACAAGTCATGCTCGCGGCCAACAATGGAGATGATAATCGAAACAGGTTCTGGGCCTCCCTTAGGTCGAATCAGCCTCAAATGAGTACCTGGTGAAGTGTGTAAACACCGCCACTCAGGAGACAAAGGTGGCCTAGTGCGGGGCTGACCACCTACTCCCTCTTGTAGCGTGCTGGCCCACATAGGTGCTCGCTAACAGGGCTTGCCACAAAAGTCCGTTGAGGACTCATGGGGGATTTTGTCTTTGTATGTATGTACGCATGTACATAGGAAGAGAGCACGTACGAAAAGGTATATGCGTTATTCACTTGTATGTACATGTCGATGTGCGCGTACGTGCATGTTGGTGTGCGTACGCGTGTTTCATTTTGTTGGCAGCTGCATAATAATAGTAATAACAATAAAACAAGAAACGCCGCCTCTCTCGCCTGGAAAAATAATTTGATTCTCAGCATGGGTGGCCCTGCGGCGACGGTCACGAGAGAACGACGACGCTGTAACTCGGGAAAGACATTCGCCACGCGCGCAAAATGATCACGACGCACAAGTGTGGAGTCAAGACTGTGTGTGTGTGTGTGCATGGCGTGGTCTGGGATGTATGGGTGTGTGTCTATATGCTGTTGAGTGGGGAAGCGGTATTGTAGTGGTTATCGCGCTGCGCTACAAACCTGGCAACCCGAGTTCGATTTCTGCTTACAGCCAAAACCAGTGACGGTTATCTGAACCAGTCCTGGGCCTCCCCTAGGTTGACTCAGCCTCAAATAAGTACCTGGTGCAGTGTGTAAACATCGCCACTCAGGAGACAAAGGTGGCTTAGTGTGGGGCTGACCACCCACTCCCTCTTGTACCGTGCCGGCCCACATAAGTGCTCGCTAACAGGGCTTGTCACAAAAGTCTGTTGAGGCTTCACGGGGGGTCTTTGTCTTTGTTTGTCTATGTGTAACGACAGTAGGGGGCACAGCTGGTGCATCTGCCAGTCATCTCAGTCAGCCAACCCATGGCACCTGGGTCTGTCCCGTGACCTCCTGTCAGTGAGCCTTCGACACTTCACGTGGCTTCAAAGTGCACCGGACCTGGCACAAGCGCCAGTGGTGACGTCACCGCCACTTAATGGTGAATAGCTGTTGTTGTCTATGTGTGTTGGGAGCGGTGGCGCATTGGTTAGCGCTATGCACGACAAACACGGCGACCCGAGTTCAAGTCCCACTCACAGCCAACAACGGTGACAAATATCTGAACCAGTCCTGGTACTTGCCTAGATCGACTCAGCCTCAAATGAGCACCTGGTGCAGTGTGAACATCAGTACTGAGGAGACCAAGGTGGCCGGGCATGATATTGGAAACCTCCCCCCTTCCCCATTGTGTGCTGTGTCTGCCTTCAAAGGTGCTCGCTAACAGCACTTGCCCCAACAGTCTGTTAAGGCTATACGGGGGATCTTTATCTTGTGTATATGTATATTAACCACAGAAGACCTCGCCTTCTACCTTGCACATTAAATCCAAGCGGTAATTTCAATTCAGTCCTTATCAGTTTTTCGGGCTATTGTAAAATTATCCTACAACTTATTTTGGCTGCATAACAATTCTTGGGCATGTGCGTCGCATGCTGAGATTCATTAACGCGAATGCAAGTCATCCCTTCGCCTTCTGTCGTTGCTGAAGGGCAGCTGCCACCAGCTGCCCTCCACCAGCATCATTCACAAGCAGCCAATCAAAACGCAATCAAAACAAACACGGCGGCCAATCTCAACACTACCGGTACTAGAAGTTGAAAACAACACTGAGCTACAGGCTCTGTTGTACAACGTCAGATCATCTAATTTACGTCTATGCTGCACACATTTAGTTTAGTCCCTTATATCTGGCCACATACAAGCTGCTCGAAGCATAGATCACACACAAAAACACTCATAAACAAAGATCGTCCATTTAGCCTGAGGGATTGCAACAGCAGGCGCTGTTAGGAAGCATCAATTAAAGCCAGCACATCATACGCGTGGGTGGTAAAACCAGCACCACGTAACGACAGCTGCCTTTGTCTCCCCAGTGGCAGTGCGAATTCTTCACATACCCCTGGAGGTACCTATTTCAGGGATGCCCAGAGAGCATTCTGATGCCACACGCCATTGATGTTGAGCATCACGCAGAAATCGAACACAGGTACCTAACGCATCCCTGCGGAGGGAGCTGGTAGGAACGTTGGGCTGCTCGGTCAATGGCCAGGGTCAACGGCGGCGTGGTGTATTCCGCAAATATTCCCGACTGTGAGGGTGGGCTTGGCGGCTTATAATGTAGAGATTGAGAGCAGCTGCATACTCAAAACGCATGTTTTTGATTCTCCACGTGGAAGGAAAAATGTCGTGAAGATGGCCGGACGTGGTTGTGGCCACCCACCCCCTCATGTGTGCCATGGCCACCTTCCCCACCCAGCCCCTCCCTCCCCACCCTCCCCTCTCCACCCAGCCCCACCCCTCCCATTTTTGGATGCACGACGGACGGACACAATAATCCCCTGTAGGCAGGTGGAACCAGGAGGTTCCTACCAATATTATTGTAGTGCAGTATAGGAGCCACTCTGTGCCACACCTCCCCACAAACGAGCAGGCACGCACTTAGAACAAAATGCGGGTGCACACAAATACACAAGACAAAGACCCCCTTATAGCG